AAATATTCAAATTAGCGGCGTTGTGAGTGAGCAGAAGTTAAAGAAGAAAGCATGTAGAAATAAAGCAGCGCGGCGCACTCACGTTCTAACCCAACTGTGAGCGCATACACAATTTGTTTTTGTTTTCAGCCCAACGTTGTTGTAGTGTTTCTTCTTCTTCTCACTAAATGGTCAACTCGGTTCGTTTGGCTGGCAACCAAACAAATGTAGGTAAAACTTGCAAATTTTTTTCTTCTTCTTTGATTTGTTGTTGAATTGGTGAATTGTGTCTTGTATGCAAATGAATATTTCGCACTTGTGGATTTCGACATGAAATTTCAATTTTGTAACAACAACAACAGCAACAGAAATAACAACAAAAGCAATTAGTGCCTTTGTTGTTGGTAGCACAGTGCAGTGTCAACATATGTGTTAGAAATCTGAAGTAGAGCATTTGGACGTTTGGTCGCTTTAATTATTATATATTATCATGGCTCATATTTTAATTTTTACACTTGTTTAGTAAGGTTAGATGCGGAAGTATTTAGTAAAAAGTATTTTTAAAAAATTAATACTTTTTAATTTTAGTTAGTTATTCAATAGAAATTAAATTATAAAAATTGTGTTTTATTTTTCTTTAGTTTTTGAAATGTCAAGAATCCGTATATGAGGCTATCATAAAGTAGTATCTAATTCCAGTTGTCTTCAAAACTCATCCGTTTCTTTTAAACATAATCACATATATTTAGAAGGCATTAAATAACATTTCAGTGACAGCAGAAATTGATTAATGAGATTTTTATCTATGGCGGTTTACTAACATTTTTTTCACCTTAACTTTCAGTTATTTTAATATACATGGTGTTTCTAAAATATTCCTCAGAAATGACGAAAATTATTCCTTGGGCCAAGGCCAGGTCAAAAGAACAAAAATCTAATAATGTGAGCTTTTGCCATATTAACTAAGTTTGCCACATAACAAAGAAAACTCAGATTAAAAAAACGTTTAGTCCAAAAACCCTAAATGTCTTAAAATCAATAGCATTAAAAATGTTTCATTCTTATACCAAATTATATATATAGTTCATACAGCATCAAAATTAATATATTATCTGAAATGGCTTTGTATTTGAAGAGATTCAAAAGTCATTTGATATATTTATTGACCGGAATGTGGAGTAGTATGCAATATATTTATCTAATTATCATTTACATTTGGTCCCAACCTTATCTTATGAATCAATTAAAAACCATAAAGTTTTCGGTGCCCTTTTGCGACAGGTTTACCTTTTCATTTAATAAGAATCGTTTAGCTAGAAAACAAAGTGAGCTGAATCTGACTCATCGCCTAAAAGTTCCAACAATTCATACTTTAATCAACTAATTTTACTTATGGTTTTTTGAATTCTGTGAACAGGTGCATTAATTTAATGATAAAAAATTTTTTTCTTTCATGAATCAATTTGTCTAAAATATTATTGTTTAACAAAAAGTGAGTTTATCTTTTTATTATTGAAGTTAAAGAATCGGGCTAAGACTACTCCTTATTCTCTTGTTTTTATTAAATTTAATAGTGGTAGACTCTAAACCACACATATAACGGCATTCATATATAAAATGATACCGCAAATATTTTTGTTGCCTTGTCAGCAAATGAAACAGCCATTATAATCTTGATCTTGACATAAAATATAGTTCACTGAGCAATATTTTAAAAGATATTAGAGGGGCTATTAAAATATCTACAGCTGGTGTTATCAATCAATTACGGTCAATCGACGATTTAGCAGACGATTTGGTGTTGATGCAGTTTCTTGAAGTCAATCGTCTGGAACGTTTCCAAGGATATTACACTTTTAAACAAAATGCCTAACTTAAAAATCATATTTATTAATGTTATGAAAATTTTTTAAATTATATATACATACATTTTTTTATATATTGTATACGGTTTTATACACATACGAGTATCGTGGATTGTTTTATCTTTAAAATACTTTTTATTTTAAGTAAATATTTCTTAATTTGAAATTCCAGCTAAAATGAGTAAGTTATAATTAGTAATCATAGTAAAATTAAAAAAAAATTACATTAAAACATCGCTGAACCAACTTTCGTTATTGGGATGGCTTTCCTTAAGTATTATTAAGGAGACTTTTTACAAATTAAGAAAAATACATTCAAGTTTGTAATAATTTCAAGAAGAAATGAACTCTTTTTCTCAGAAATTTCTTAGCAATCAAAAAGCGTAAAAGAGTGAACATTTTCGCAATATACATAAAGAGAACGCCTACCAAAGAATGCAATTGCTGTCTGTCGAGCTGTGATCTAAAGAGAGAGTGTGTTGAAATGAGAGCGACAAGAAGTTCTGCGCCGTTTTGTCGTATAAAGCAAAAAACTATCAATTGCGATCGCAATGATTCAATAACTTTGTCATTGTTAATAATGATGACTAATGGGCAACGCAACGACAAAAACAACAAGCGAAACAGCAACAACTCAAACAGCAATGAATACTGAAACAGACACAGACAAACAATACCGGCAAACAAATCGCTAACTCAGAGGCGTTCAAACATGCCTAACATCAACAAAAGCAAGTATGACTGACAGAAATAACAACAACAACAATGAATGAAGAAGAGGGCAAGAGCGGGGTTTTTCTTTTTCAGTTTCCAGCTGTTGAATCAACTGCCGCTTTAAAGGAGAGCCCATAAGTTGACGTCTGACAACGAATTCCACAGATGAAAAAAAAAGTTGCCCATTTTGTTGGTGTTGTTGTTTTTTTTTTTGATTGTTACTTTTAATGCTGCAGTTGATTTTGTGTTGCATGCAATGGCATAACAATGCAGTTTGCAGTCGGTGGAGAAATTTTTTCTTTGGACAAATTTCATTTAGAAATAAAATCTCAAAAAAAGAAAAAAAAAAAAAGGAAAATAAATAAATGCTCATACTATATATGAAAAATACACTGCGTTTCACTTGAATAGCACACTCCACATATTTAATTTCTTTTCTTTACAACTTTCAAATAAATAAAAAAAACCTATTGGTTAATATTCTTTATTAAACAAATAAAAAAAATTGAATTTGTTCAACAATTATTAAATTAGGAGCTGAGAAACTAAAAAAATATAAAAATGACATTAATAAATTTTTACCTTGCTCGACGTCAATGCTTTCGAGCAGCCTCTTATAGTAGGCATAGGCTGTCGATAAGTCGCTTGGTCCTATACGGTATTTACGGTATTTATTTCATTTAACGTTGACCTTCTCCATGTTGTTTTTGGACGAACTCTACCTCTGCGGTTACCTTGCGGGTTATATACCAACGTCTGTTGACAAATTTGGTCCATCCAAATTTTCTTTTGCGAATTTCAAGGTTGACATCTCTTAGATTTGTTCTGGCCCAAAGGTCTTGATTTGATATTCTGTTTGGCCAGAAAATACGCAAAATTCTGCGGAGACAGCGGTTGACAAATACTATCAGCTTGCTTTGTATGTTTTCCGTTAAAAACCGAGTTTCGCAACCATACAGGAGAACGCATGCTTAATAGACTTTTATCTTTGTGTGTAAACTATAGATATTGGAGCTCCACACTTTATTTTGATAAAGGTACTTTAATTTACTTTAACTTTTATACTTATTTCGGCAAAAATATTAGTGATATCCACACAGTTTTGGGTTGTTTTGGGTTTCTTTGGAAAAAAAGAAATAGTTACATTTTTTATTATAAAAACATTAATTAATTAATTAAAAAATTAATTTACGCCAGTGATATTTTAAAGTTTGTAAACAGCAGAGATAATAACACTCATAGCTGTATTCTTCTTCTTGTTAGAGATGGAACGAGAAGTCATCCTAAATTCAAGAAATTAAGATAAATCTATAAATAAAATTGCAAAATTAGTGAAATGCTATATGGATTGTACTATTCAAGCGAAACACAGTGTATGTATATGTAAAATATATTTTTCAATTAATTATGAAATTAGTATATAATAAAAAACAATGGTTTTTTATTTAGCCCTTACATCCCTTCTCTGCTCACCAAATTTCTTAAAAAATTTTAACCGGATTAAAAAGTGTTGTTTAGCTACATCGAAAACGCAACACGTTAAATGTCATATGATATGTTATATTTTGACAGATGGCTAACATGATAGATAGGCAAATAGAAGAGGAAAACGATAGGCAAAATTAGAAGATTGCCGCAGAGCCGTCAATGATGAAGGAGATTTTGTAAGAACCAGCCTACAATACAATATATATATAAATAAAAACTTGAATAACTGTTTTTTCTATTATCTTAAATGATTTACTTAAACAAGGTCCTTCAGACCTGGTTATACTCCTTTGCAATGAAATTGAAATACTTTCGCTAAATAATATGCAAATATACATTTAATTAGAATACTGTGGATTACGTTAATAAGTTGAATATTTATATACCTAACATTAACTAAAATTAATTAATGCGATTGTAATTTTAATTATTTAATTAAATATTTTTTTCGTCACTCAAAAATTTAATTATTCATTACTGACAATTTCCATTGTTAATGGAATTGCAAATATCCGCCACAACACTTCCGTTTCGTTCTTTGAATTCTTAAAAATATTTCGTATATAAATCACGAAGCATATTATATACTTCTGAACAGATACAAGTATGTATGTATGTATATCTGAAACTGTTATTGTCATATATGTCACAAGTGCTGAAAGCAGAGACTTATTCGCATGCATCTCTTCTTACATGCAAATATCTTGCAGTACAAAAATTAAAATCTTTTAAGTGCTAATCTCGATT